AAGCTGACAGCCGAGTAGCGAGCGCACTGGTGTGTGGGCCGGACACCGCCGGACTGGGGATCGAATCCCCTTGATTTATTTATGGTTTTCCTTTAAGAAAATTAACACTTCTGACACAACGTCGGTGAGAATCCGACTAGGTCTGCAGCAAGGTAAGGAGGTCGATTTCACCACCTACTCAGAAGGTCCCGAAAAAAGTTCACCCCCAACAGGATTCGATCCCTGGGCCGACGGTTTCCGGACCGCGCACCCCAGCTCGCTCGCCACTCGGCTGTCGGCGCCACTTGTCAGCGGAAGGTTCAGAACTCGGTCTGGCTTAACGGGTCTTGGTCTCTGGTATTCCACGCGTGCAGGCCGGGTCAAGTTCACCTCCTCGACGCGCTGCAGCCCGGGTCGGCTCTTGGCCCGAAACACGGAAAATGGCCACTAAAAGAGCCCCTTGGGCGCGCGGTTGGTTAGGTTAGGTCAATTTATGTGACTTGTTCCGTGTTTTTGGCCAGAATTCGACCCGGGCTGCAGCGCGTCGAGGAGGTGGACTTGACCCGGCCTGCACGCGTGCAATACCAGAGACCAAGACCCGTAGAGCGGGACCGACTTCTAACCTGTCCGTGGCGAAGACAAGCTGACAGCCGAGTGGCTAGCGCGCTGGTGTGCGGTCCGGACACCGCCGCCCTCGGGTCGAATCCCCTTGATTTATTTATGTTTTTCTTTTAAGAAAATTGACACTCCTGACACGTCGGTGAGAATTCGACTAGGTCTGCAGCAAGGTAAGGAGGTCGACTTCACCACCTACTCAGCAGGTCCCGAAAAAAAGTTCATCCCAAACAGGATTCGATCCCTGGGCCGACGATTTCCGGACCGCACTAACGCACACTCCAGCTCGCTCGCCACTCGGCTGACGGCGCCACTTGTCAGCGGAAGGTTCAGAACTCGGTCCCGCTTTACGGGTCTTGGTCTCTGGTATTCCACGCGTGCAGGACGGGTCAAGTCCACCTCCTCGACGCGCTGCAGCCCGGGTCGGCTCTTGGCCCGAAACACGGAAAATGGCCACGAAAAGAGCCCCTTGGGCGCGC